TCAATAACTTCTGTCTATTGCTTTACTGTTAATAAGGATTTCTAACAGTCTTTCTGACTTCAGTAAGAAAAAGTCATTTAATGAAATTAAGATGTTAGGAATCACAATACTCAATTACCAAATAAACGTGAGAGAAAATGCACCTCTCTGAAGTATTTCACAGGTTGGTACTGTTTTCAATAACAAATGCTGCTTATTTTAAGCCCTGAGGTTTTATATGATAAAGTTCCTCTAAGTTTTATACCCATTGAATTACACATTTGTCTAGGTAATCTCACTTTGTTACAAAGCTTGTAAGAAAAGGTCTTTGGAGAATGAGGAAAAGTTGAGTCAAACTCAATGAATTCTAGTGACTTGAGTACCAAAAGCTAGATCTGCACCATTATTTGTCAGATATTTAATTCACTGAAAATTAATTGAAAATAAAGGCAAGACACACCCTTTATGCATTGAGTTTTAGTCTGTGCTTCAGACTGAAACAAATAATCATAATTCGACTGAAACCACAGTTTTCATGTAGTGTCCAGAATTAATCATGAATCAAAGTAACTTCATGAATAGCAGATGAATAACTGTGACCAAGCTTTGAATATTAAGCCTTGAATCAAGCAAATGTCGCACGGCCTTCAGGCCAGTGATATTTCACATAGGCGTACTGTTATAATTTCCTTTTAGTTTTACTAAATCAGGATTGATTTTATCATAAAAATATTCTTCCTTCAATATCATTTATTTTCTAGAAATAAACCTAGAAAATGTCTATGTTTACATTTTATATAAGCTATTGTAGTTAGGAATTTCATGTCAAATACAGTAAACCCTCAGAGAACACTCAGTGAATGAAATCTTAACTCAGATGAAGGAACTAGCAGAATTTCTTTGATTTTTGTGTAAATGAGATTTCATCTGAAGTCTTTGATAGAGATGCACCAAGACCAAATGTACTGATGTGACAGCACTGAAACTTGATCCACAATATGAACAAACATACTACCTGAAATATTTCCAATGACTCTGTGTCCATATAAATTCAGATGTTGCAGTAGTGGAACTATGCACCCACATGTAATACATCTATCCATCTTTTCGTACCAATAAGGTATCAACAAGGATGTTAACAATTTTGTAGAAACATAAAGTTGTACTTCAATAAGTAAAAACAATATAAGAAATCTAGGTTTCGAGGTTTTGAACACTTGCATATTTACATAGCTCTGAGATGACACATGAATAAAATTGCTGATGCAATTGAGTTTTGTGATAAGGAATATGGAGAATTTCCAAAAACAGAAGAAACAAGCAAAAAGCATTGAAAATAGGTCTTTTCTCCTACCTCTCTAATGATGGTGATTTTAATTTGAGTTATAGTTACTAGACCATTTGTAAGTAGAAAACTTAGAACAGCAGACAGACTGAACTTTCACCAGGGTAGCCATATCTGTTTTTCTCCTCTATCCTTTCAGTAATACTACATCTTTTTCTTTCTATCACAATTAACATGTCATACACTATCTCATTTAACACCTTTGCTGTTTCCAGAGTCTAATACTAGTAACCTGGAAGCAGGCATCTGTACATGAACATCTATTGAAATGGAAGAGAAGAAAACCTGTATAAAAATTGTGAAGCAAATAAAGACCTGCAAAAGGAAGAGAGCTTATTCTGAAAAGAGACCAGTGCATAACATGGAATTTGCTAGATTTGTTAAAAATCAGTCTTATTATTTCCATATCCTTTAGTAAATTCACTAATAATCTTAGAAAAAAGAAAATGTGTAATTTGCTGTTGATTTCCAACTTATCAACAGCACTCACAAAATAGTGTCTGAAGAAGAAATTGTGTTATATTATAGAAATATTCAATAGAAATTCAATATTGTGCACTAAAGTACAAGAAAAACCGCTGGTATAATCTGTTATTTTGAGAGTCAAAAATTGTATGGCATGAGAAAGAATTGTTGTTGGTATTGAACATGGGGCAAATTGAAAGCTATCAACATAGAAAAGTCATGAAAGAAAGACAAATCACTTTTTTATCAGTATTTAAATGGAGATGGAGAGACAATGCTATTGTGCACCTTGCTAGTAAGTATTTACTGGAATGCCATATACAAAAATCTCTCCATCAGCGTTTAAGACAAACTAATTTAAACTGTAATAGGTCATAGACATTGTCAAGGAAATCTAGAACTTGTGTTATGAAAAGAGATTCCAAAGAGGATCTTGTTCAATTAAACAAAAAAAAATAACGTGAGTGTTGTATATAAATACATCAATAGGCAAACAGAAGTGAATAACGATTTGGAATGTTATTGGGAGACAAACAAATGAGACGATTTCTAATCAGAGGAGTGAAGTTCAGGCACTGCCCTCACTAGGAAGAGTGAAATGAACTGATTTTAAGATGAAGCACTGGATTACAAAAGATGTTAGATAATGTCTGCTGAAAAGCAGTTTTGGATTAGTGATTCAGAGGTTTTAATCAAGTCCCACCTTTTTTTACTTCTTCCTGCCAAAACTGATGTACTCATCTGAAACTTTTGATTCTAACAAGCTGCTTTGTTTTTCCTTCAATACAAGCTAGGTAGTACGATTCTATCTAAAATTATGTAATTATGTTGGAAACTCTAGTACTAAGTCCAGCGTAATATGGTGGTATATATGTGGATATAGCCAGAAGCAGTCATAAAACAATGAAGAAAATGAATCTACCTGAAAAACAGATACCAGAATAAAAACTTTTTTCATCAGAATATTAATTCAGTGCACACACTTTTAAAAACAAAATCAGAAATGGTTTTCTCTGAAAAATTTCTGTCAAATTTCATTGAGCTTGTCAGATAATGGGATGACTTCCTAAGGTTAATTGTAGAAGTTCAAAACTGGCTTTAGTTGTGTTCTTTTCCTGCAGTTAGAATGGCTTCCAATACACAGGAGCCTTCAGAATTCATAGATGTGACAAAATGTGAAAATTTAGAAGGAGAGGACAATTAAGATTTTTCCCTGTAGAAGGTAAGTAAATATTACATTTAAAAGGAGAATTTAACTGTAATTATTAAGTGCTATTGTGCTAAATGTGTAGTCTAAATGCAAGCATTCAAGAATTGAATGGAGAGATTTTTAGTATCACTATACATGCAAACCACAATGCAGCCTTAGCTGTGGAGTTAATTACTCTTTTGTATACGAATAACACAAAATCTACAGCATAATACAAAAAGAAAATTAACATGTGTCACGTAAATTAAATTTTCCCACAAAACTGCTCTACTTTTTCACGGATTTTCTTCTACCTCATTGCCCATGATTACCTATCTCAGGGCTTGCAACAATTTGTGGGATCTCTCTATGTAAAGCTGAGGAATTCTGTTTGATACTTGGAAATCTCTCTATATAGCTGTATCAGGTTGAAAATTCTTTGCTAATCTAAAATCCACAAGAGGTGATTTTTGCTCCTGGCATATGATCAATAAAGAATTGTTAAACCTTGATAACATCCTACTCAAGTACAGTCCCTTGGAGCATGACAATGCTACCAGGTAAGCAAACCTGGTTTTATAGATGAGGTGAGGCAGTAATAAGTAGGTGATAAATCATCTGTTCTACACAAATTTAATCACCTGTCAAGGGAGCTACCTGACTAACGAAGGTAAGGTGGCTTCTTGATTAGTGTTGAAAGTACGTCCCTTACTAAGTATTGGAGGGGGATGGTGGACTTGTGGGACTTCTACCTATATTTGGAGTGAAAAAGGAAGGAAGAGAAATGCAAAGCGGTTCCTGCCTTTAACAGCTGTTTTGAAACCCTTGAAGTCGAAGTGGGTTTTTTATCCCTTCTGTGAAGAAACTCCAAGTCCAGAGTACCACTAATTTAAATAAATCAAGGAATCGGCACTGCCTTCAGAAGAGAGGGCAGCAAAGCTCTGCAGCGGAGGATTGAGAAAGGAGCCACTGTTGCTGCTTTAGCAGACCAAAGCAGGCTCACATGGACACCAGTGGTGTGTTGCATGGAAAAACCTGGCTCCAGGAACTGGCGAGTGGCCGAGCGTTGTTTTTACCAAGGCTGAGGGAGGGGTGTTGGACACCCTTGTGCAAACGAGCCTAGTCCTGCTAATGCGATCACGGCCCCATGGATGCTCGGGGCCTTTCTTTCGCCCGGGATGCTTGCACTGCCCGGCTCACCCCTCCGTGCCCGGCAGCTCGGGGTTCCGGGGCCCCACTCCGCGGCCAAGGCACCCAGCGGGCCGCTGCCAGCCACAAGACAAGCGAGGGCTGCACCTCCCGTTTCCCGCGGAGCTGGGGAACGCTCCCGCATCGAGCTGAGCGGGGACTGCAACCCGCTTCGTGGCGCGGAGCCTTCGCAACTTCCCACGGCCACTTCGCTCTCCCCCTCCCGGCTCCCGGAAGGTCCCGCCGGCCGGGAGCGGCAGTGCCGCCCGCTCACCTGCCCAGGGCAGTCCCCTCGCCCTCCCTGAGACTGGGCAGCGCTCGGGCACCCGCGGCGAGCGGGGCGCTCGGCGCGTAGGATGCCTCCCTGGCCTCCCTCCGTCCCTCCGCGCTGGCGGAGCCCTGCGCCGGGGGTGAACTCCGGAGAGGGAGGGGACCGTCCCGTGCGCCCTGACCCTCCCCAGCCCCCGCGCCCCTCCGCCCGCCTCCAACCCTGGTCACCGGGGCTGATGAATTAATCATGAGGTGGCTGCTGTTAATGCATTTATGTGGAGCGGGCTGTGCCGGCGGCTCAAGGCGGGCTGAGGGAGCGCGGGGAGCGCCGGCCCCTCCGCTCCGCCCGGCGCGGAGCCGAGGCCGCGCCCGCACCGCTCTCCATGGCTCCGGAGGAGGTAATGGGAGCCGGGACTCGCTCCCCGTTTCCTCGGCCGCCAGGAAAGGGGCAGGGCTGGCAGGGTGCGGAGAGGGGCACGACGGCGCTGGCAGGGCAGCTCCAACTTGCCGGCAGCGGGGAGAGGAATGCTCGCGTTGCCGGGGAGGGGTGTGGGGGGTGTGTTCGCTTCGCGTCCCCGCGGTTCCCCCAAATCCTGCCCGCCGTTTAAAAATCGCTCTCTTGGCACAAGCGCTCGGGAGCCAGGCTCACTTTATCGCCGCTGACGCTGTCAAAATCGCTGTGGCTCCAGCAGTAAGAACAGCGAGCCCCCTCCCTCCCTCTCTCTCTCCCTCCGCCGGGTCACCCGCTCCTCGTGAGAAACCAAACGCTGATATTCCTTTCGCTTCATCTTCCCCGCTTACGCGAGGGTGCGGAAGACTTGCTAATTAATTTACATACGAGGGAATGATGTCTGAAGGAAGGAAAAAATACCCCGTTGCACCTGCTCCGCCGAGACTTGTCATCTGAATCTGGAGGAGAACTATAAATCATGTAAAGTGTTCGCGGTGGAGTCGGCTTCTTCTGAGAGCTGTAGGATTATGTATCCAAATGCTGAATTTATATTTCCCACTAGGAAAAGACTGAAACTCAGGTCAGATATAAACTACATAATTTCATTTAAAACAAATCTGTAGTTATTTATTGTAATTCTAGAGGGGGTTTTTCTTCTCTCCTGATTAAATAGAAAGTACTATTAGAGCATGTAGTAACGATTTACACATTATAGCCTGAAATCTCTTGCAGAGTTGGAAGTGGTTGAGTGTAAGGATGGTGCTTTAGAATCACGTATGTCCTCTTGTTTTTGCTTCACGTGGAAAGACTGAGAATAACCAGGCTGTTAAATTTTACCTTCAGTTTTTAGTGTGTACAAGACCATATTTTGAGATACAGAATGGAGAAAAATTGGATGAGGGAGACCACAACTTCCATTGAAAAGGTTGACTTTGTCAACTACAGCAACTAAAATCTGTGCTGTGTCTGCTTTGATGATTTTCATCCTTTGAAAAAAAGCTTTAAAACTGTGATAAGCTACTTCCAAGAATTTCAGTTACTGCCTCTAAGGCAATACTGTAATAGTTCTTGACACTTGCCTGCTAAATCAGCTGAACTGGTGAGACCTACTGTTCAGTCAGATGTTTATGTTATTCCTGTGCCAGATATTTCTTCATAAAATACAAAATGAGGGTTTTAGTCTGATAAGGTTATGATTTTATATTGTAGAAATTATTCATACTTTAGTTTTGTGACACCAGTGAATTTTCATATATTTGACTAGTTTTGTTGCTGGCTAAACTAGACTGCAATTTTGTATTTTCAGATGGAACTAATTGGGGTTAATTGCTTTAGTAGCCTAAAATATTTTTAGTAATACCGTAAATGGCAAATATTATTAAGTTCTTTTGTTCCAATTATGTAAAAACATGGCTTTTTGATTAAAAAGGTGTTGTGTATTATAGATGGATCCTGTACATTGCATCAGGATGAGGGAATTAAAGAGTTTGTGTTCTTGGACAGCACATGTCATTTGCAAGTTTCATAAGTTGTGAGCTTATTGTAAAAGTGTGTGTGGCAAAAGACTGCTATGCTTGTATAAGAAACTAATAATAACACAGAAATCTGTGAGGTAAGCAAGAACATATGAGCTAGGCTAACCACTCAATATGCTTACTTTGAAAACAAGTCTGTATGCAGTAGTTTTCCTATCACTGTTCTACAGCAACAAAATAATGGTGCCAAAAATAAGCATAGGCCGGAAATAAAAGGACAAAAATTTAAAAGGAGACTAGTCAGGAGGAAAAAAACACATTTTGAAACTGAATCTTTCTGTCAAATCCAAGACTGCATGTTGTTGTTAAACTAAATCATACTCACATATACAGCAGTTTATGACATGTAAGGTGGGAGCCTTGGTCTAGTCTATAACCAACCAATTAAAAGAGATTCTGTTGCTGAGTATTTGGTTTGTCACAGAAAAAAGATGGTAGAGGTCAAATGACAGTCAGTAAAAGTAGAGTTCGTTTTTGAACTTGGAACCTTTTTGAACAGGAGAACAATTTGTTTTCTTCTCTGATTCTTCTGTCTTTAACTGGAAATGCTGTCATGAACAGCAGCCCACAAAGTGGCCAAAATTTACTAAGTGATGAGCATTTATTGTTCTGAGATGGCACTGTAATAAAAATACTTTTTTGGTGTAACTGCCATTGTTCTGACCATGTAGGTCGTGAATAACATGGAGGGTCTGATTTGGGATTTGAACAATATATAACACTGCATAAGTTTCAGTCCAGTGGACATTTTTATGTTTGGCCACCAAAGTGTTGCATCAAGTTATATTGGAAAAACCTTTGCTTCTTTTATAATCTAAAATGAAAAAATGATTTGTCAGACAGAAGGAGGTAGGGTGGTGTGTTTACACTTACAGACTTTATTGTGTGTACAGTAATGACTCCTGTTTGATACAAGGAATTGTGGGCTTGGTGACTTCAGTGAATGACAAACCCACCTACATTTTCAACATTTGCAACATATTGAGCATGCTTTTTGTGTCAGGTAACCATAGTGCTGCTTGTTTATTGATGAACAGATCTTTGAAAGGAGATGAATGGAGAGGAGTCAGCTGTCTGCATGATGTTCACTTAATGCTATACAAATAACTACATGACAACTGGCCGGTATTTGTAGTCACGTGGATATGCCCTCTATTTTGTGTAGCTGTTTTTGATTTGCACAGTGTCATACGAATCTTGTGAATGGGTTGTTCAATGATTAACACAGAGTACTATGTCATGGTGGATGAAGATAGCTCTGTGTCTTAATAGACAGGTTAAGTTACATGATTTCACATAGTGACAACATTTGAGGTGTATGTGCATGGAGTACAATCAAATTCCTTCTTAGACTGTTTATATAGTAAGCAGGAATCCATTAAACTGCCACGGAGGACAAATATTTAACAAAGACCTGAAGAGGCAATATCATTTCAGTATGTTTGCAATGTACTCCTCTGTTTAGCTGGTGATTAAATCTTTTGATCTCAAGGAGAGCTTCTAGTCATCTGCTTTGATGCAATAGTCTATGAAACCATTTAAGCTAGAGGGGTAGGGGTTTAAGTCTTAAGACTGTTTTCTCCTATAGATAAAAAAATTGCATGTAGTTCTCTAATAGCCCTAGTTGAACTTCAGTAGGAATAGTGGCAACAAAAGGACTGGTAAGGAAGGGAGCAAAATAGGGAACAGTTAATCACCACAGTAATTCAAGACTGAAGAAAAGACCTCTCTGAGTTAGGCAACAATCTTATCTAATTCAAGTCATAAAGTCATCACTGTCTACCTTTAAACTAGGTAAGCACATTGCCCTGTTGCTCTTTCTGGAAAGATGTTTCAAAACCTCTTTCCTAATGCTTAGAGCTTTCTTTGAACTTTCAACCTAAATATATTCGTTGATTCCTAATTTTTAATCTCTCAATATTGTTATTTAAAACCAACTCCTTCCTTGGTGTATAGCCCTCAATAAATTATAGACATCGATCATGTGTCTTCCTCAGCTTTTATGTGCTAGGATCAAACAAGCAGAGCAAGCACCTTATAGTCTCTCTGGTGAAACAGAATAAATAGGAAGATACAAAGCCTAGTAATTTAATTCTCCTGAATTCTGAACTTTGTACCTGAAGTGTTTCCTTAAGTCTTGAATGAGAATGCTAATGCTCCACTTGGTCTTCTCAAAATATTGTGTCTGATGTTGGTGAAGATCAGGTTTGTTTTACAGGTATGCCAGATTGGCTTCATCTTCTTGTAGTAAACTAGACATGGGTGTGTGGTTTATCTTTTTGTGTTGCTCTGAAATGAGCAGAGACCATCACAGAAATAATCACAGAAATTCTGCTATTTGTAATCATGTGCTTTGAAGAGTTACTAAAGGTTTTGCCATTTCTAATACTACAAATGGTCATCCAATTTCTTCTGCAAGTTAGAGAGAACCTCCCCTGCATCAAGAGAGCTTCCTGTAACCAGTTCTAATCAAAACACCTCTGCTTTTTGCCACATTCACAGACATGAAATGAGTCTGAAGAAGGATTTTAAATAAGTCCACTTAATGTCTTACCATTAGTCACTTTTACATTGACTTTATTTTTGTGTTAAGCCTGCCTATCTTTTCCGACTCAGTAAATAATTGCTTGGTGATACCATATCAAATTCTTTACTAGAATATGGAGATTTTGGATTCTGGATTTCCTTTCCCGTAATATTTGTTTTTTAAAGTTAATTTATTTGTTCCAGACTATGTCTTTTCAAAGTTTCTTCTTTTTGCTGTTGTCTAAAATTTCCTCTTAACACTGTTCATCTGTTTAACATGGAGAGGCAGAGCAAATCCTTTTCAACTTATGCTGTAAAAGGTCCAGATATGGTTATTAAGTAAAATGTTACACATTACCTGCAGATCAACAGAGGAGATTATTTATTTTCTTTTTCCAACTATGACTTTTCAGAGTGCTTACCAACCCTTTTGTGTCACTTAAGAGTCTGCAAGCAACGTCTTGCATTTTATCTTCCTACTGTTTAAAGGGAGGAAAAAAGGATCAAATTAAACTTTTTATAACCTGAAAACAGTAGACTCTTTTTTGTTTCAGGAATTGACAACAGAAAAAGTGTTCTAAGATTGTCTTTTTTTACAAGAGGATCTTAGTTTATATTTAAAAAACAACAAAATATCAGTTAGTAGAGATACTGAGTTTTAGACATGAATGAATAAGGTAATCCAAATTCAAGCATAAAATTTTAGTTTCTGGGTGGAGATAAACTGGGCTATTTCTATCCTTGTCATGATTAGGCATTAATATAGTATTTACTAGGTAAAAAACTCTTCATAGGTGTCAATAATCTTCAGTATACCTTCTGAAGCAGATAGGTGTTCTTCTGCCAATTAATGGTATAGGACCAATATATTTTAGATGTATAAATCTGAAAAAAGGTTAAATTTTGATATAAATTTGTTTGAAAGGTATGAAGGGCAGACTGTATCCTCAGTATTCAGAATCTGCTCTTATAGGGTATGCTTTCATTTTTAAGGAAAAAAGATACAGGGTTTCATTCTGAACACTTGAATAATGTCATGTCTCTTTGATAATGGAGTCAAGTCAGATGTAGTTTTTCCTGGATAAAAGTGTGGGATACTATAAAGGACAGTTTTTTTAAAGGTTTACACAGGATAGATCTTTAATTTACAAAGATTTTGTCAGATTTAACTTCCACTTTTTGTGGAAAGGTAGTTACATATAGAAAGAGGGAGCTTGTCTTTTCTGTCTCCACCCTCCTTGGTTGACAGACTTTCCCTCCAGTAATCAGTTGACAGCAATCAGTTTGAGGATTATTTCTGGAAGGAAAAAGTTTACAGCTTTACTTCAACAGTAAGATTAAAAATAAAGTAGCTGTCATCTATTTTCTTGGCTTAACTAGTTAAAATCATAGCCACAAAAATGCCATATTACTCAGCTAAGCTCTTCTGTGCATTTTATACAGTAAGCAGACCTTATTAAAGGAAAGGCACTAAAGCCTTGCAAACAACATTTTATAAACCAAAATTTAAAAAAATTAA